ACTCGACTTGCGATCAGAGTCACGGAACGGATTAAGTTCATAAGTAGAGGTACCACTGTAACAGTAAAAATATTTTATTTGTCAACTGATAGTTATTTTAGATGCCATGTATGATATGTTCTGCATACTTGAAGTTGTGGCAAGTAATGTTTGTTTATTTTATGCAATTTCTGTTCTGTACCAGTCAAAAGACTATGGAAAGCTAACATATGTAAAACACTATAAAATGATAAAAATATAAAACTATGTGCCCCAAGAAAACTAATTTCATAGTAACGTTCTTGTCCTCTATTGTAATCTTCTCTCCACCCCTGATACTCAGTGCATGTTGTCTCTGAATAGAGTTCTCATAGTAACAATCATAACTACTATCTGTTGATAAATCTAGGCTCCATGATTTTTTCATTTCCTTTTAAACTGATTTAAATTACACAGCCACATATTTTGGTAGCCAGTTATGTCAATTATTTAATTATTGTTTTTTTTAACACTTTATAATCTCTGGATTTTTACTATCTTAATTAAAAAGGGACCATTTTACAATTGTAGCAACTCACTGTCAAAACTAATTTCATATCATATAGGAGCAAGCTAAGTAGCACCAGTTCCAACTGAGATTCTTGGCTTTATTTCATTGTTTACTTCAGATTATTGTTTAACAAATGTCCAGTGACAATGTCCAATGTCATTCTGTAACTCCTAACTTTATTTGTGCTGGGACTTTGTCAAAACCTATTTTAAGTGCAAGTACATAATAACATATTGATAATTCAGTCTTTATGTTTACTAGCAGTTTTAAAGAATAACAGAATATAAGTTGCTTAAACTACACACTGATCCCTTCTCCATACATTTTAAAGTATATTTAATAATTTGATCCTTTATAGTGTTCGCCATATATTATTCTTAAGGAATGAGTCAAGTACAAAATTGTAATTTTATAGCTGCTTTAAAATGTGATGGTATACTAGCATGTTTCAGATCCTTGCTAAAGAGGGAAAATTTAGCAATATTATTTTTGTGAGAGGTTTTCTAGTTTTTCTATTGAAAAGTCACATATTTATATGTATTTAAGAACTCTTCTAAAATTGCTATCCAGGTATCTTAAGTTAGAGGCACATAACTTCCATTGGCTCATGGACTGCACCAGGTTTCATGTGGCATGATAAGGGCTGTACCCTAATTCTGGGCAGTGGTATAACTGATTTTGGAAGGGAAATTCGGAGATTTTAAGGTTCTCCAAGGCTTAAGCTACCCCCTCCCAAGTGCAAAACAGTGGCTAACATTTTCCATCCTATGTACTTGGGGTGGGTAGACTTCTAGTAGTCACATAAATAATGCTAACAAGGCACAATTTTTGACATCCTGTCCTAGATTTCTTTTTAACAAGGCTGTAACAAACACATTTATTCTTGCACAAACTTTCATAGAGTTCATTTCCTCAAAGGCATGAAATATTAGAAGGGATCCCAAATTATGGGCATATGTGTCTGGTTGTAAAGGAAACAAAATGATAAAAAAATGGGAATAGGTGAAAAAAGTCTGAAACCAGTTCTTATAGAGTTTTTGAATAATTGAGAAATGCAGTCAGATATTAGAATTATGGTTGGAATGTTGGTTCTGCAACATTTTAATTGTTGCAGAACTTAATCACAGAAGACTCTAAAAATAATTTGAATAAATTCATAGACAGTAGTTTTCTTTTTGAAAGATTTTTCAGATTTTTTATTTTCTGGAATGTTTTTTGACTTGCCTTAGAGCTCTGAGATGGTCCCTCAATGCAAATACTAACCAGATCCAACCTTATTTATTTCAAAATCAGCCAAGGTTGCTAGATTAATATAGTAGTTGGCTTATAGTAGTCCTTTGTTTGCTCTAGATTTTTATATATGTGTTAGATTTTACATAAGTTTTATATATGCAGCTACTTATATACTATCTGACCATGGCACCTGGGAGTCAAGGGAGCTGAAATGTAATACAACTGGAGGCACCCATTATACTCTTTCATTTAACACATATGTAAAACTTTGGTGCAGGACAAATAAAATAAAACTGAAGTGCAAATTCAGAAGCAGGCAGAAATAAGGAGGTTTCTGATTTATGCAGAGGCAAGATAGGATTTCTTAAAGAAAAGTTGTTCTTAAAGAATTAGAATAGAGATCTGCATTTTGGATGGGTTCAGTTTTCCCCTTGTTTTGATGGTTGAGTAATTGGCAGAGTACCTGTCAATATGAGTTCACTGTTTTCAGAGGTGTTTCCTTTGTTGTTGTATCTCTTGGAGCAGTATTGGTGACTAATAGAAAAATGTTTTCTTTATCTTCTATATATGTATTATATACTGGAGAGCCAGTTTGGTGTAGTGGTTGGCCTAGAACCAGGAGACTGTGAGCACTAGGCCTTCCTTAGGCATGAATCTGGCTGGGTAACTTTGGACCAGTCACAATCTCTCAACCCAACCCATCTCACAGAGTTGTTGTTTGGAAAATATGCAGGAGTATTAGATATGTTCACCACTTGAGTTTTGATAGATATATAGAATAAAAATGTAATAATATTTTTTCAGTGTGTCAGAATGCTATGCATATAATTTGTTGTTGTTCAGTCGTTAAGTCGTGTCCGACTCTTCGTGACCCCGTGAACCATATTGCGCCAGGCCT